TCTGGGATTTGTCTGGCAACGCGTTAGATTTCACTAACTACACCTACCGAGGGGAGAGATGTGTCCAGTCTCTGCCTGTCCCACAAAACTTACACCAGACTCTCTTAAAAGCAGTAAAAGTTTTTAACTGGGTTATCCTCACAACCGCAAGAAGATGTGGACGGCCGCGTGGTGGGGGGTATCGGCTCCATTGAAATTAGCCCTCCTTGTTGCTCCCATTAGATAATACTTCCTGTATTAGTGGGGCAGCAGCGATAGCAGGCAGATTTACAGCTCTCTGCGGCAGGCAAGCTCACTCCAACATGGGGTCGTGCTCATTAAACAGAGGATGTCATCACTCTACGCCACCGCTGCATGTTACATGTCACACACATCCTCAGAAAGGCCGGCCTTTTGTCCACCTCCGTCCACAACATCCTCTAAATCTGTCACTGCCACCTGGACGAGGGACGTGTCGCCGAGGCAAACCCTCTCCTTCGTCGTACCACGGACATCGAGGGAGATTCGCAGGTGGAAGCTCAAAACAGCCAGTCTGCTTTATGTGTGGACGGATGTGTGGGAACGGGGTGCCGGCCCATCCACATGGGGCGAGGTGTGGGCGTGACGCTCATTGCGAAGCCCAACTCTGTACACGGGCCAGATAAGCAGAACAAGACGAGATAAGAGAGCATGGCTGAATACAGCAAAGCACTGCAGATACTCTGATTCTGCCGTCAGATCAAGCAGCCTGTGCACCCCGTCTAAACATTTGCACCACTGTTTAGCCGCGAGCATATGAGTTATGATAGCGCGACTTTAATGAACTACTTGCTGTTGTACTTTAGTCACCACAGGAGAAAGTTGCTTAAATGTTGGCCTTGCCAAATCCTTTGTTTCTACTGTTATGTCTCTAAGAGAGCCAAGCAGCTAAAGGCTAATGTCACAATAAGAGATATTTAAGGATTTTTGAAGTGTATTTCTGTTATAAGGTTACGGACAGTTAACCTTTTTTTTGTTTGTTTTTTTTGTTTTTTTTTACCTGCAGTTAAAAACTCTTGGCATCTTCATTTGTATAAATCCAGAATAAAGTATTAGAAAGGCTGAAACTAACAGCCAACCAAAACTAAGGTCAGAATCCCCATAAATCAACTTCCACCTAAAAGGTATTATAGCTTTCTAAGCTATTTTATTAATCTTTAAACAATCATTGTGTTCATTTTGTACATTCTATTACAAACTATAGCTAGATCTGGAGGCCAAAGCTAATTATTAATCCCAGAGAAACTGAGACCACAGGTGACTTCTACTTCCTTAAAACAATATTAATTGTTTTGAGAGCATCCTTATGTTCTCCTTCTGATATGTAGCATGTATCAACATAGATGAATTTGGCGTTTTTGCATTAGCTTTTGTGCTTTTATGTGAGTGGAACTAATGTTTATGATTAGTGCCATAGGGTTAGCACAGCTAACTTTTTAGTTAACAGTACTTACCACTGCAGATAGGGCTGGTAAAAACCAAAAATATTACAACAGTAAGTCCACAGGTGTGGCTGTGGCTCAGTCCTGCATTTGGAAAATGGTAGGTTTTCATTTCTGCTTCTTCCTCGATATCCCCCTGAGTAAGGCACTTGATCCAAGGATGCCTTGAAGTTTTTTTTATTGGTCTGTTGGTAGCACTGTTACCTTGCAGCAAGAAGCATCTTTATCCAAATCCTGCACTGGGTGTTTCTGCATGGAGTTTTCCTGTTGTGCATGTGTAGGTTCTCTCCAGGTATTCCAGCTTCCTTCTTCACTCCAAAAACAGTTTGGACAATAAAATGCGTGTGCATATTTTTCTATCCTTTTTTATTTTTTATGTTCTTTTTCACTGGATAGGTGACGTGTCCAGGGTGAATCCTGCCTCTTGCACGATGACTGCTGCAGATATGCACCAGCCCTGCAACTTTGCAAGCAGTATAGACAATTGACGAGTGTTTTTGAGTGCAATCAGGTCAATGTAAATTGCTTTGAGTGGTCACCATACTAGTAAAAGCCATAAGTAGAAGTGAAGTAAAAACAAATCAGATAAAAAAAATATATAATAGGAGTTTTATTCTATTATTTTAAGTTGTGTTAAATGCAGAATGCAAAAATGATCAAAATTGGTCAATATAAAAGGGAAATCAGTGGCACTGCTTTGGCTGGTGAGCTCTCAGAAGGAAGTCTGTTAAAGTCCTTTAACAGTATTGAATTGTCTTCAAATAAAGAGTAAATTACACAACCTTAATTTTCTCTTTGCTAACTATTCTGGTGGGAAACCCTACATGTTTTGTTTCAATGCATGTTTCAAACAGGAAGGTCAATACAAACTAATCTGAATTTATGCTAAATGAACATACCACAAGAGTTACCTACAGCAGGTAAGATATTCCTGCTTAAAACCTATTAACATAATCTCATTTTAAAATGACGAACTAAATAGATTGAAAGGTCAGTGTTATTAATATTTCATTAAAAAAAAGCTCACGTAGCTCGAAAACTGCATGGTTTCTTGAGGCTTTCCCTCAATACTCAAAGACAAGTAAAAGAAATTAATAGTGAGATTGAAGATCAACATCAAGCTTAAGGCTCCCTCCAAAGTTGAATTTAAGCACTGCATGTGGTTTCTGAAGAATATTCCAAGCCACCCCTTTGTTTTGGCCAGAGCACCTATCATAGAAAAAATTCAAGACAGAAAATGGGAAGTTATGTCTTGAATAAGTTCTGTCAAATGCATGCGATACATTCAGGAAAAATAATTGCCGTCATATTTTTGTTGTGTGTTTTTTAGAATAGATGAGACTTTTCTCTTGGAATCTTTACAAACCCTGTTTAGATTTTTTTTTTTTCTTATGAGGACATAATGAGAACTGTTTTCTATAAAGCTCACTGATAGTAATCATAATCTAACTAGATAAAAGACTGTGGAGTATTTGCCTGGGTTGACTTGCAAAATGACCCATGCCAGCAGTGGCTATTATACCGCATTAGTCACCGACTCCTGGGACCTTGCAGGCCTTATGCTCATTCGTCCTTAAGCAGACTATTATCTAATTCCAAACATTGTGAAAACATGCCTTTTCTTCCTGCAAATTCTTGACTGAATGAGAACTGCTTCGTGTTTAGGAATCCATGTGCCAGTTTTATAGATTTTTGAACATGCCCTCATGTCCCCCGAGGTGCAAAGGTCATATTTCATCTGCTTGATAATGATGCAGATTGTATATATGGAGTCCAAGCAGTGGCATCAGACCTCATGTTTACAGAAATGTAGCTGCTCCCTCTCATCATCAACAGCACAATCATTCTCAGAGACGGTAAAGCGCAGGGGAAAGAAAAGGAGTCGACCCTTCAAGATGGATGTGTGTTATTGTTTGTGGGATGACAGTTTGTTTCAATCAGGTCCTTGGTGCTCTAATCCCAGGTAGGGCTCTTAAAGTGCTGAGTCAGTTACTGCCTCATCGATCCATCACGGTGGGTTAGTGGTGGGCAGGTGTACTCCGCAGTACTCCCAGGAGACAGAGGAAACACCTGCCCTGTGCTGCTCGGGACTTCATCATCCCGCCGTTCCTTTGTCTCGTTCTGCCTGGAGCTCAACGTCGGGCCACAGAAAACTGTGAAAGCAGCACTTTTGTGCTCGTTTGTTGCTCCGTGCACAGGAATTAAGGGACGGCAAAGATGGTTTTCCCCTGTCTCCCCCATCCTTCCCCCCACTTACTTATTTCTCACCCAGGAAGAAGGGACACGCATTGAATGGACCGCACACAATTGCCTTTGGGCTGCACGGATCAGTATGAGCTTTTAAAAAGATTAGTCTTACAGGGTGGCACAGAGGAACAAACTACACCGAATAATCCTCCTACTAATAAATACATCCAGAGTAATCAAAATGAATACTTCTTCCTCTTACTTGTGTAAAGGTCAATGAATTTCAAAGTTCAATAAGAGATTGCATTGTGCTTACTATTACATCTGAGACAAGTGTGCTGGAGAGGGGCAGGGAAGGGAGTCTATGTTTCTCCTGCTGCAGGCAGTCAATTAGTGCCAGAAGGAAACACAGCACTCCTCTGTTGCTCTCAGCTGAGGAGCTGTAAATAAAGACTTTTATTACTACACACTATCTGTGTCTCTTCTCTGGACATCAATAGGCCAGTGCACCGGATGGTTTCCAGGCATAGCAAACTTTTCTCTTTTTGTGTTCTTTAAAATGGCATAGAAAGGGATTCAAAAGCAAAAAACAATTTTTAATATTTTCTTATAATATATTTTGAATTTTTTCCACCATTGGTGTATAGTACACGTATCCTTTAAACCTTTGTAAAATATCTAAATAAAAACAATCAGGAATTATGGTTAATAAGAAAGGAAGAACTACAAGAAAAGAAAAAAAGCAACCTAACTTGAGTTATATTGGTGACCCAGTCCCAGGTCAAACATGCACTCACAAAGCCTTGGCTGTATTTAACTAAACAAGACTGGATTATAGGTATGACACAGCATGCAAGGTTATGCTAACCAACAAATGGCCAACAAATGTCAAAAATTAATGTATTTTGTTTTGGACTGGGATGGAAACGCACGCAGAAGGAAGATAGAACTTAATGAAAAGCTTAATTTTATAATAGAAAGTCCAACAAACCAGCATGGTTGAAATACTGGGAGGTATATGAGGCAACAGGAGTGGCAACAGGTATGGAAACAAGCAAATCCAATATTGATTGAAAACCAACCATGAGAATGAATACCGGGAGGAGTGACTACCGGGACAACTAGCAGACGAGCGTGATTAAATGATCCCAAAACAGCCATAGAAAGTGGCTGTCCTTGGGGAAAAATAAATGCACAAGGTGATTGAAAGAGAACACAAATATGAGTAAGCAAAATCCAGATAACTAAATTCTGAACCAAAGACAAAACAAAGCCATTTTTTATAGTGGCAGTCAAGGCTACCAGCACTACACTGAAAAGAAAGACATTTCCAAAATTAATTAGCAAGAAATATTTGGGTTAAATTGATCCTATTTATTTAATATTTTGACTCACTTGTACATAATAACGTGGTTTTTATTGATAAATTAACTTAGCCATGAACATTTATAATTATAACACTGTATTAAAATATTTGATGGGGTTTTTTGGGAGGAGAGGAGTGCATGTTGGACATGGCTAGCATTAGCTTGCACTAGCTACCCAGCTACGTGACTAGTTATTTTTCATCAACACAACCTATTAGCATGATTATACATTATTCTACCATGTTAGCATTTCGTCCTGTGGATGAGGTTCATTGAACTCTGATCTATTTACATCTGAGGAGGCTCCTGCTAGTCTCTTCTGTGCTTTAAACTTTAACACAAAGATTACATTGAATCCAAAGTTTCTGAGTTAAAGGATGTGAAGAAAATATTATCCTTGGTTCGATACACTTCATTGAGGCTAATCAATGCATTTTATATTTAATTTACATGAGTGTTTTTAATTATTTCATTTCTTACAGCAGGTACAAATGTTGGTGTCTGAAAAACCAAAACACTGTGGAACAGCAACCAACTTTAGCTTCTGAAACATGTAATCCTGACTCTATTTATATTTGGTGTGATTTACACTCTGTTTCCTTCACACAGAGCAAGAGAGCAGGAAACAGATGCTAGGAATTGTTCTGTCCCTAAATTCCTCAGAGAGAAATTCTTGTCAACACCAACGTGTGAGGCTGGCTTTGTACTTGCATGCGAAAAGGTAGTAGACAGTGACTAAATTGACTCCATGGTTTCCCTGCTCCAAATGTCCATTTCCTCACAGTTTTCCACTTGCGTACGTCCGTCCGTCCAAGCCCAGGTTAGAGGCGACACGGTTCCCCAGAGGAGTCATGCAGCCAGCCTATGCTTTCTCAGGACAAGGTCAACCTTAACGCCCTCAGGCACAAATAGCAGGGAGGGAGGCTGTATTTGAAAAGAGCATTAGGTTCACAACATCATCTCAGTGACAGCATAATAGTAACAATAGTGTAGATGTTTTTAAAGCTAATAAGCAATATGTTAAATGAATAAATCATTTGCAGGCAATATCCCTCAAAGGAGGATTCTCAATGCAATAGCTAATAGGTCAATAATAAAAATGCATTCCCTCATAATTATATTAACGGCAAAAAACTAATAGAACAACTTTAATTAGGATTTGGAATTATTGCACATAATCAAGTACCCAGACATTTGACACAGGGGGAAACGGTAATTTCCTATCAAAGAATATTGTTTGACATTTACAAGGTGATATGATTTGCAGCTGGAGGGCCAAAGGTTTCATGGACCATGGCGCCATCTAGAGGACATCCAAAACAAAATGTGATTCTGGCACAACTTTGGTGTCAGTTGAGAGTTTATCATTTTTTATTTATTTTTTTTTTTTTAATTGTTTGAGCTACGTTCTGAAGCTTGAGTTTGATGAAAGGTTGGTTTATTGATTCTTAGTAACCAAGTAATGATAAATGCTTAATCATGTCTTTAATACTGAATATGGATTAACCTCTGGAGATTTTGGAGTTTATCTTTTCTTTTTTCTGTTTTACTTTTTGTCACAAATCTATCAGATTATCAAACAAATCTTAAAAGCTGTATAGATAGGCAGATTAAATACAAAAAATAGAATTCAAATGATGGTTTAATTTATTATGGCTCTTTAAACCAACCTGACCTTATGTGGAAAAGGCAATTGCCCCCTAAACCTAATGAGTGAATGTGTCTCTCTTGCAGCAAAACTGCCATCAACGTTTTGGAGTAATTGAAAATGTATTTCTCAAATTGCTTTGGAAGATTCTTTACCCATGCAGATTTTCTGTTAATTCAGCCACAGTGAGGGAATTTGGGAATGAACTTAATCATACACAGGACTTTGACTATACCACTTCAAAACCTTAAAAAAAAATATATATATATATATTTTTTTTTTTCAGTTATTCAGAGGTGGGCTTGATAGTTTGCTTTGAATCACTGTTCTGCCCAAATGTGGTTAAGGTTCACCTTAGGATTTTAATTAACCTGAACTTTCTGACAGAATCTTCTGTCAGAAAGATGAACTCAACTACAGCAAGTTGTCCAAGTCCTGAAATGGCAAACCAGAGCTGAGCAAACTTTGCCTAGTTTTCTCTCTTTGGTTCACATAACTGTTGGGAGTCATCGTGATGTTTTTGGCAAATGTGAGATGACTCTTAGTTTTGTTTCTTTTCTGTTGTTATTTGTTTGTTGTGTTTGGCTTTCTTTTGTTTGGGGGGTTTATATCAGAAGTATTTTTAGCCTTGGAATCGTTTTCCAATTGCTGAATCACAAGCATATGCTTTAACTGAAGCAAATGAGGCTTGAAGTGTTTTAGATGCTGTTCTGGATTATTTTGTGGCACCTCATATTCAAACTGTTTCATGATTTCGGAGAATAACTTATGCTGTGGTTCACTGGAGTCTAAAAGCCTTAGAGATGGTTTAAGACTATTTGGTTTAGACTGATAGAAGCCAATGCTTCTTATTTAATCTTAGATTTATTTTGATTAGGGTACAATGTGTAGCTTTTTTGAGATTCTCTAGCCTACTTCATGCTGTCAGACAGGCTCTATTAAGTGTATTATTTTTATACAAAAGGTCTGTCATTATCCAGGTCTGGATTTGGCAAATGAAGTGGAACACAGATTTTCAATGGACACGATTAATCACAGCTATCTTGTGTTTTAAGGAAGTGAGGGAGTCTTTTTTTTTTTCCACAAAGGACCTAGTTATTTTTATAAATGAAGAAATTACTTGGAAAAAATTGTTTTTCAGATTATCTTCATCTTGTATTAAAATCTAAGCATTCATAAATATACAAGTAAAATGATATTTTAAGACAATTTGAAATGTTTGTCCGTATGCTGGTATTTGGACAGCTTAATATTTCCTGAGACAGTGCTTGCATGATATAGTTCAGAATCACTTATATTGAGAATGATGATTTGGTGCCACCTACTGTTGGATAATTTTCTCTGTCAAAGTGAAAAGGCAATCAGAAGAGCCTTCAACACAAACACCAGCACTTCTGATTTTTACCTTGGCCTCCTGATAAGACTGAAGGGGAAAGGGTTAGATTCACCTCACAGATATTTTGCAGTCACTGACTCCTCCCTCTAATGATGTACTGCACTTGAATTTTTTGCTGACACGGTTCTCTATAGCTGGCTTTGCGGATTTATAGCAAACCATAATTTGGGGGCGTAAAATAGGAATAAAACTCTTGTTAATTATTTAATCGTGGTTCTGTGGTAAGTACTGCCTTTCGGCCCAAACAAGGATGTCATCCCTCTCTATCTCAGCAGGACATTATATCACACATTTGTTGCTGAAGAAAATTACAGCCAAGCCCGAGACTGCAGGGTTTTATGGTAAATTGGGGCAGAGAGCACTTTTATGAGCATAATTAACCAACAATTTTGGTCATTTTCTTTTTTATTTAATGCAAATTAACTGCTAATTGAACCTAAATCCCACCTCGGAACACCCGGGATACACATTTGTGGCGTTAAAACAGTAGCTGTGTGATTTGGAAAAGTAACACCATGTGCAGCTGTTTTCCTGAAATGTTTTCTGAAAGTCAAAAGCAGCCTCCACAAGAGCACTGAATCGAATTGTCCGTGGCCAGCAGAGATGTGTGGGACCGGTGATGTATCTTTGTGTCAGGGGGCAGTTAGGCATAAAGACTGAGGGGGTGTGATCAACAACCAAACAAACATGTTGTGCCGAGGCGAGGGCGAGAAGGTGTACGCCGAGCATCCATCAAACCACATCTGTGAGAGGCTGATACTGCCCTGTTTACTGTTGCTGCAGTCGACTCGCTGAGCTCATCTCCTCCTTGCAAATCCCACACGCAGTGTCTCAGCAATGAGATGCTGCAGCAATGGCTGCTGAGCGTGGGTTTATTGTGGGCACTGGTGGCTCTGGGACGTAAAAAAACAAGCCACCGGGTTTGTTGTGTTTGATTGTCCTACTGGATGCCAGGCCAGATTCGTAGAAGGACCACCAACCGGTCCTTTACCTCCAGCCATAAATGTGTCCACTTTTTACTAAGATATTAACGCAATTTAGAAGGTCTTATATAGAACATTAAAATCTGTTACAGGAAGAAGCAGACAAAAGACACTATAGAACATTACCTAAATACCTTAATATTACATTACTGACCATATTTGACAGTTTAATCTGATCAAGTTGCCTATTCTGATTTACATAAGAAGCAGATAAAATATTCCTCGATAGCTAATCTTCATTAGGATTTCACAATTTACAACCTTGTCATATTTATTACACTATATCTGCAAGCAGCCGGTTCAGATCATAGGGTCAAAAGGTCAAGCTTTTGTCTTACAATGAAATGCATTTACAAATGGTTGAACAGTACGATCTTAGAACTCATATGGCTTATTTTATTATCGTGAGGGATTTTCACTTTGATTTGATTCACAATGGGTTAAATAACATCTGAAATATCAGGTCTCAGTGAAAGGATACTGATCAGTTTTTAAATCCCAAACACTTAAGACATTGTTATATATATTTTTCTAAATGAAGATCTTCATCCTGCTCTCTCTGTGTAGCAGATATAACGTTGTGTCCTCATCTTTGTCTTAATCCGAGTTGCTATAAATTTTTAATTATTGTTTTTAATGTAATTATAAACAAGGTTGGGCAAGTAGTTTTTCTTTCTACCCGTTTCCTTTGTTATCAAAAAGTAGCTTAATGCCTTTCTTGAACTGCATGTTTCTTGTGTTCCTGTGTTGATGCTCCAGGGTAAATTACTACTTAATTAAGTTTGAGGATAGAGATCATTTTAAGAGCTACAAATAATAACTTAATCCTTCAGTTCTGTGTTCTATTGTTAGGGATTTCAATGGTTATGCTGCTTTACATTTTAATAACCATTTTTTAATATAATATGTTTTTTTCTGCTAAGGCAAGGCCCTGCAATTAAAAGTTGAATTTTTTGATGACCACTCCAAAAACAATGACTTTGTTTTCTCTACTTCCTAACTAACTGATCAGTGTGCTTAGATATAACTATTGGCTTAATCAAGACGGAAAGCTTAAAAGTAGACAGGCGTGTCTGACTCATAAACTAAAACTAAGAACTGTTTCCAAGAATAGGAGTCCGACAACTTAAAGTTAAGCCTGCCATTCTGCTTTTAGAAACTTTACAAACCACCTTCAGTCTGAGGCTGATGTGTTCTGCTAGGAATATATGAAACAATCAGATCTCTGATGTCTGATGGAGCTTAATTACTGAGGGCTTTATATGTGAGACTACAGCAAATGTGTGAATGATTTATTACCGTTAAAGTCTCCAATACATTTATTATCCAGTAACAGTCAAACAGGGTCCTGTTCAAGCCAAAGACAATGTTCACATGCTTATGCAATACAATACTTTGATATTACATAAGCACAAATATTGTACTAAACAATAAAGCCTCAGTGTTTGGGCAAATGAAGTAATTGCAGTGGACTAAAAGAATCAAATCAGACATGCTCTTTAATTAGAACTATGGACGGATCATAAATAGTCATCATTAACCGTGTCAGAGAAACATTACCCCTTTTTATTGGGGCTGTATTTTCCTCACATACTACTATAAAGTTAATGACGGACATTGTTTAAACCGTAAAAGTGTCATATATTTTGAAGATGCCAGTCGACTTCAACAAGGCTAAGTAGCATCTGGCTCATGCATCATATTTTTTCCAGTCGGGTATCTTTCTTCAACCTGCTCTGAAAATTACAGATGGAAAAATGCTGCAGAACTGCAGCTAAAAAGAATGTAAATGTTTTCTGTCAATTTCATCGGATTTGCAGTTTGAAGAAATTATTCCTAAATCCCAATCTGCAAAAAAGTTGGGGGAAAAAATAAAAATAAAAAAAATAAAAAATTCAGAAATGAATATAAATGTCCCTTTCAGTGCAAATTATGTAAGTAAAAAAAAAAAAAAGAGGGTTGTGTTGTTTATTTTGGGAGTAGAAATTAATGTCTAACATGAAAAAATGCAGAGGGAAACTGAAATTTTGCTGTAGTTTAAAGTCATGGCCACTTACCGCCAATTTACTTTACAGAGAAGTCTGAACATGCATTTTAATTCATGTTGTATGTTGTACTTTCCTCCATAATTTTTTTATGGTATTGGGAGTAACAAATTATCTTAAGTTATTTATTGTAATGCACTATTGCTGTTTGCACTCAGTACATTAGAAGCAAGTTCACATAGTTCCAGAAAGTGCACATGTCAACTGATTAATACTGCCTCAACTTATCTCTAACATTTTGTACATATGTCCAGTTATCAGACTTTTCATACTCAGAGTCTGATAGCTGCTCAAATATGCATGACAGGCATAGCTATTGATAAGTTAACAGCAGATAAACCAGCTTATTCATACATTTTAAGAGCACACAATAGAAGTGTGCTTTATTGTCCCATGAGAAATGCAGGCGTGCCAGCAGCAAGACAAAGATAAATAAAAGTGCACATATTCAAACTAAAGTAAAAAATGTAAAAAAAAAAAAAAGAAAAACATGAAACCGCATAGTAAGGGAAAGTTTACAACATAAAAAATTATACTGTAAGGTTATTAAAAATAGCATATTCTGTTTCACAGAAATGTGCATGTGCAACTGAGTACTGTCATTAAAAAAATGAACCAAATGTGCATGTATACTTGTGCAATAAAAAATATTGTATGTATTGTCAGTAATTAAGTAATGTAAAAGCTGTGTAAATGACAGTACAGATATTTGAAATAATAACATTCCCGCTGTATACAATAATATTTACCAGACTTTTTCTATTCCAATTCACACAGTAACAGTGGAAGACACTTGTGACAAACTTTTTTTAAACCAAAGTAAAGCATTAAATTCACATTTCAATTAGAGTATAATAAAGGCACGAAAAACCTCAATTATATTATATTCATCCACTTATGAATGTATTTCTATTTTTACATTAAAAAAATGACATTAGCAATAATTGTAGAATTCATTTTTGTTTCTAAATATCTTTTCTGAACATTCCCCCCTCCAACCCCCCCTAATAAGAAAACAAAAAATCAGTGGATATTTCATCTTTGAACACCACTGCTGTTGACACGAGAAAACACTCACGGTGTTTTTCATTTTTAGCCAGAAGGTGGCGACAATTCTTATTTTGAAATGACCTCACAAAATAGCAATGACAAGGCTACCAATCATCATACCTCAGTTTTAATTGAACTGAAGTCAAATAATAATACGTATAACAATTTGTGTAACTTACTCAATGCATAAACCGGTCGTTGCCGTCTATATTTAAGGTTTTTCTTGTAAAACTTTTAGAGAAGTAGCACAAGCTGACGTAAGAAGGTCACGTGATACATTTAACGTCTCCGCCCTGCATATCTGCAAAATGGAGGTAAGATGCTGTTAACCATTAAAAATAAACACATACATGCAGAAATATTCAAAGCCATTATTTCTATTATGTTAAACAAAAATGTAAGATTTAAATAAAGGCTGCATGGCGCTACCCGCAATTTCACTGCTTCTCGGTACCTCACTATGCCTAGTAACGCTGTTATTAGCTAGCGCTAATGCTAAGCTAACGGCTTCATAATTACTACAGCTAGCAGTGTACCTAAAAATAATGATTATTTCCTCACTTTAACGCTTAAAACGGACTAAAATATTTTCCCTTATTTATATGTATCTGTTATATGTTAGTGTTATAACCCACAGCTCTAATGAATGAAGCAAAGGGATGTTAGCTACTGCTCTTACCGTGCTAATTCTTGTCGCAGCAGCCATTTTGACATGAAATACGATGTAAAGGCAGGTGACACTTCTCAAGTTAATTAAGATTCTTTAACGTAATATCTGAGAGTCTTATTAAGCGTAGCTGTTTCCCATTAGTTTTGCTTACCTTATTTAAATATGAAGGACTGTTTTTCATTATGGGACTCTGCCTGTCAGTAGTCAAAAACAAGCACTATAGGCAGTTCCTGCAACATATTAATTGAAATTTAGGTTGATATACGTTTGTCCGCGTTTGCTTGTGCCTCGCAGATTAAAAAGGTCACCAACAACAGTGGGGTCCCTAGACGTAAAGTTCTAGTGTTCAGCAGGCACCCTATTTTGTCTGTATAGATGTTATTGCATTACTTTTGAATAATCTTGACTATTCCCTGAGCATATTTACATAGACCATAGTTCGTAGTGAAACAATATATGCAAGAATAACATTAACACATTTAAAAATGTTTTCAGTTTTTCTACACAAGATTTATACATAAGATTTTTGATAGTAATGATACATTTTTGAGAACGTGTCATTATTATTCCATGAAGTCCTGCAAATTAGAAGAGTTCACTGTTTAGTTCATAATAAATGTACAAAATGTATTTCATATTTTATTCCCAGTGTTATTTTTTATTTACGTTTCTGTTGAAACAGGTCCCATCATAGAAAGCAGACTTCATTTGAAACTGTATCCCTGTAATTATCAAAAACATTAAATCTAGAAATTGTCATGACAATTTTTTGATCATTTTCTTAATCATAGAAAAAAAAACTATGTCTGTTTAATAGGTATATGCACCTTCAGCAAATCATGCATGCTTTTGAAAAAAAAAAAATAATTTGTTGCTAATTTCAATCCATAGTGAGTAAAAAAGGATTTCGGAGGGAATATTATTACCACATTACAAAATCACAAATTGCTGCATCCACATTTTCCTGTAATAGTAAAAGCTTTATTGGAGTCATTATGGTCTATTACTCTTCTTACACACAAGAAGAGTAATAATTTGTTGAAATGTAAAGGCGCATTGGTCAGTCTGCCATTTGTCTGTGTGGTAGCCACATTTTAAACATGAGCTTCTGAAAGGGTTAACATCAACACAGACTGTATGATAACAGCCTCACACACACATTGATATTTTCAGTGGTGCAGCAACTTTACAGTGCAGTTAAGGCATCTTAAATTTCACGGTTTACTCTTGTGAAATTATCTTGCACAGGGTCAGCACAGCTGGGTGCCTTCTTTTCCCTTTCCAGACAAAGAGCAGTGTGCCTGTTTCAAAACATCCTGATGCCATCTCTTCAGATCAGTGTTTCTAGAGCAAAACATTTTTAAATGAAAGTACAATGACATTCCATCCTGTAATTTCATAGCACACGTGACACATGCACTGTTTGCTGCATGTGAGCACCTGTAAGATTCAGCAACTGCAGTAAAGCAAAATGGTTGTGTGTCAACCTGGAACCAGTTTTTTTTTTTTTTTTTTTTTTTTTTGCTTGTTTATCAGTCTATGTAATATTAGAATAATATTCCTATTTATAATGTGAATATTTTTGTTTGAAGAGCACGTCCAGTTATTTCACAAGTTGTTAATGTCTGTGCTCTTGCTTTTTTTTTTTTTTTTTGAAAAACTAAAAGTGCCATGTTTTGTTTTTCAACAACCGTCTCCACTTGCATGACTTTCTGCTGAAATTCTTCTTGCGTTTTGCTTTGAAAGGACCGTGAGGCGAAAGAACCAGAACAGCTCCGAAAGCTGTTTATCGGAGGTCTGAGCTTCGAAACCACAGAGGAGAGTTTACGGGCCCATTTCGAGCAATGGGGATCTCTCACAGACTGTGTGGTTTGTAGATTTATCATAGTCTATTAAAGACTTTCCCACATAGTAATAACACAAGCAATTCACTTGCACACAATTGAATCTGTCTATCTTTATATCGCATTTAGGTGATGAGGGATCCTAACAGTAAACGATCCAGAGGGTTTGGCTTTGTAACTTACTCCTCTGTAACTGAAGTTGACGAGGCCATGAAAGCGAGGCCTCATAAAGTTGACGGGCGAGTTGTTGAACCCAAGAGGGCTGTGTCCAGAGAGGTAAAAATCTACACCTCAAACCAGAAATCAGATGCTACAGCCGTGTTGGTGTGGTTGGCGTTGGTGCTCACTAGATTTTCTCTTAAAGGACTCTAATAAACCTGGAGCACATCTGACGGTGAAGAAGATCTTTGTTGGCGGCATCAAAGAGGACACAGAGGAGCACCACATTCGGGAATATTTTGAGAAATACGGAAAGATTGACTGTATTGACATAATGGAGGAGCGCTCCACTGGAAAGAAAAGAGGATTCTGCTTTGTGTCATTTGACGACCATGACACTGTGGACAAAATTGTCGGTACGTACTTGCTTTAAGTTAGAAAATAAATATTTTGTAAAAAAAAAAAAAATCAGTCTATGATTATGTGTTTTGTTTTTGCATTTTTCTTGCAGCCCAGAAATTTCACACAATAAACTTTCACAATTGTGAAGTTAGGAAAGCGCTATCTAAACAGGAAATGAATGCTATATCCAGTAACCGAGGTGAGCTTCGCTATGAGATAAAAATGTGAAACTGCGGCTATTTTATGCCTGAATTGTAGGTGGCGAGTCAGTAGTGTAATGAATGTTTCTTAAATGTCACCCATCAGGAAGGAGCGGAGGATCAGGAAACTTCATGGGCAGAGGCGGAAATTTTGGAGGTGGCAGTAACTTTGGTCGAGGTTTGTATACGTCAGAAGTATGTTGTTGACTTGGAAAGAACCTACTTTTATGTAGAGAAAGTCGGATATCTGAAGCATTTAACCTGGTCCTATTTTAAATGCACTGTTTGACAATAATGTGCATTTTTTTTTCTAGATGGCTATGGAGGACGCGGTGGTTATAATGATGATTTTGACAATGGTATGAAACTTAATTTCAGTATCATTTAGAGTTAAAATAAGTACCACTGCCACCATTATTTCTGTACAAAATGCTTAAAGTGCCGCTTGGAATGTTTGGAAATGAAGCGCTGTGAAGTAGTAGCTCTCTTGTCTGTATTACAGATGTCATCCTGGAGTGAGTTTTTAGAAAAGTGATTCAATCTCCAGGATGTTGTAAAACTAAAACTATTTATAACCTGCATCAGCCCCCCTGATCAGCTGCCTATAAAAACACCTAGCATATAAAAATGGAACATCATGGTATTTGATCTAACAAATCGGGAGGGTTTCAACTTTTCACAGACGTTTGCAGTAAAAGGGAGCCAGTTGTGATGAGAGCCCGCTCAGACCGCTCCCTTAGTGGGAGAGGCCTGAGCACAGTACATCATGTTCCTATTAACCCATTTATTATTAATTATGTCATGCAAAGAGCAAACTTCATCGATGAAGCTGGAGCAAAGCTCCTTTTATAAGTTTTGTTCACGTAAATTTAAATTGAACTGAAGAAAGAACATTTTATCAACAAGGCATAAAAACAGCTGGAGGTTGCGGTCCAATGTCAGTCCATGGTGTGTGCAAATATCTCTGCAGTGTGAAATTATTTTTTGTTGAGGAACAAAATGGTTTCCTCCAAATAAAACGGAACACTCAGTACAGACTGTAACAGCTTAGGCTCACAAATATTTGTATGCATAATGTACCATTTCTTTTCTTCAAAGGGTTTATAAATCACCAGGTGCTCTGGATATTTTACTTAATCTAGAAACATAATTGGACCTATATACATAAAGATTAGGACTCCCTGATGAAGATGTGTAATAACCGCTAATGCAGGGTTATATTTCACCAACATGACAATAATTTGAGTTGTTTTAAAAAGTTAGAATCAGGGATGGTAAGTAACTTCATTAGTACCCATAAGTGGACTGGTCTTGTAAAAGAGAAAGACCAGCTTCTGTTTAAAATGAAAGTAAAGAAAATTAAACTTTTCTACAAGCTGGTACTACAAGTCTACAACAGTTAGATGAATTATTATTGCCCACATCTTCACAGAGATAAGAACTAAACCTTTATCATTTTGATGATTTTGCAGAGTAAGGTTGTAAACGGTAAGGCAGTACTGAATTGGTCGTTCTTTGCTTTCCCAGGTCCGGGAGGAAATTATGGTGGTGGACCTGGTTATGGAGGTGGCCGAGGGGGTTACGGAGGTGGCGGTCCAGGCTATGGAAACCAGGGCGGGGGATTTGGTGGCAGTGGCGATGGAGGCTACGGAGGCAACCGGGGAGGTAAAAATTTTATCCTCTCAAAATTAAATGTGCCACTTACGCTTTGGAGGTATTGCTTCAAATTTGAGTTACCTTTTCAGGATATGGAGGGGGTGGAAATTACAACGACTTTGGAAATTATGGAGGACAGCAGTCAAACTATGGGCCAATGAAGGGAAATAACTTTGGCAGAAACTCTGGTGGACCATATGGTGGTGAGTTCTACCTTGAAAAGTCTACGTAATCCAGACTTTGAAACACATCTCCGGATTAAGAACAACATCATTTTATGGTGATTACTCTTTAATTCCAGGTGGCTACAGCTCTGGAGGCAGTGGCGGAGGCTACGGCTCACGGCGGTATTGAACGCAGCATGTTTTCGGTAAGCGGCGTTAAGTCTCACTCCAGCCTCGTAGCACAGTACAGAGTGAGCCTCATGAAAGTGCAGATTAACTATTTGTTCTATCCTGTATCCATTCAACAGGCTTCAGTTCTTAGCAGGAGAGGCGAGGAGGTGAGCAAAGGAATTGTCAGGAAAGCTGCAGGTTACTTTGAGGCAGTCATCTGAAAGCATTAGAGGAACACAGAAGTCAGACTTAACTGCAGCTAAGTCGGAGAAGTTAAAGGAAGAAGGACTGTAAGAACAAGACATGAGTTCAGATGATGCACTTCCCTAATTGTGCTAGATGTTTCCCTGCTGAGAAAGTTTTTCCTTTTTTCTGCGTCTAAAGTGTGTGTGTATTGTGCCTATGGTGTTGGGGAAAAAGAGCAAAAAAATTTTTAAACTTCAGTCCTACATTTTTTTTACTTTAATTTTTTTATGGCCTGGTTTTCTGCCGGCCAATTATTTGTCTTTAAGTTGTTTTTTGTTACATCAGGCCGTTAGATCAGCTAGAATTTCTTCTTTCTGAAGTTATTATGATTTATTGAATGCAAGTGTCAAGTGTATTTTAATTTTTGTATGTAAAGCACAGTATGTAAATCCTTCGTAGTACCAGTGTACAAGTATAAAGAGACTAGATTAGAACCAAGAGAATCCCTTACTCCTTATGTTCCCAGCAAACCAGATTCTAGATTGTTCACATATTTTCATTAGATTAAAAAAAAAAAGACAAAATAAAATTGTGTAGTAAAGTAACATGAGGTTCGGTGCATTATTGGTTCAGCAAAGATTTAAATAAGCCACAGATTATTGTTTTTCCATGTCAATGAAATGTTGGTGTAGCCTGTTCAAATTAACTGTGAAGGTTTTATAAGTAGTGTTTTCTTTCCTATTTTGTCCCGTTACAACTACGAACTTGCATGTATTTTGTTGAGATTCTGTATTATACACCAACACAAAGTAGTACATAAGTGTGAAGTGTAAGAAAAAAGATTTTATGGTTTTTGAGGAGATTACACACCAAAAAAAAAAAAATTAAAATTATGGCATGCATTTGTATTGAACCCCGTTTACTCTCAGATCCTTGAATAAAATAAATCGAGTTCAAGACGTTGCCTTCAGACGTCAGTTAATTAGTAAATAGAGTCTGCCTGTGCCTAATTTAACCTTAGTATAAATCCAGATGTTCTGTGATTGGCTCAGAGGTCCGTAAGGAAATATTTCAGAAAAATCAGCATTATGAAGACCAAGGAACACAACAGATAGCGCTGGGAGAAAGTTAGAAAACAATCCAAACTTCTTCTGGACAAGAACTGTTAAAATCTTTATTTCAAAGTAGCAAACCGGCTAAGATGTGGCAATTCACCTGAACTATTAAAGACTAATGAGACCCATGGCTACTCTACAGGAGCTGCAGCGATCTGTAGCCCATGTGGGATATCTGTCAGCAAGACAACCATTAGGCTACGTTCACACTGTAGGTAAAAGTTACCCAAATACAACTTCGACATCCTGAACAGCATAATTAGTTTTTTCTTCAATTAATTGTTACGCTGTGAAGTTGTTGAAACTTCACAGTTTCATAATAAATTTCTCAGAAAGGAAGAAAGCTGGAAGATCAGATGTAAACAACAGACAAAACAGGTTTGGCAGGCGCCACTGATGGAGCTTATTAGGTTGTTGACAGTTATTATTGTGCAACGTCTTCAGATTGTTACTGGTAGATTCATGTTGACGTGTGCTATCCATGTTTTGGAATTCAGGTCACTTTAGGACTCTTCACACTGAGATCTGATGGCAGCCAGATTAGAATTATAACATGAACAACCACTCAACGAGCGCTGTTGTTGAAAATAAGCCATCAGAAGACTCATTTATAGTTTGCCTTTAACCATTTAGCAAGTAGTAAAAACACAAGCGCAGACAAGACATTTTGTTCACATTCAAAACCACATATGTGGTGTATCGCCGTGAAACGTGGTGGCAGCGTTATTCTGGGATAACATTTTTGTGAAGTGATTGAAAGGAAGAGTTGTAGAGGGCTATAAAAGGCTTGACGGTGGTTTACCATTAGTAAGATATTAACCCTAAAACACACAGCTACATTAACAATGGAACAACTTCCATTAAAGCAGATTCACATCCTAGAATGACCAAAGTTCAGACCTTAACCCAACTGAGAAACTCTTGTAAGACTTGAGAAATTATGTTCACAGATGCGCTCCATGCGGTCTTAATCACCTTGAGCTTGATTTTCAGTGTCTAGATGTTCAAAGCTGGTGGATATGCCGCAAAAAGACCTGCTGCTGTAATGTCAGTAAAATATTCTTCTGCAATCTAAAGACTCAGGGAGGACAAATACAAATGTACTACACTTTTCAGATTTTTATTTGTCAACTTCACCATTATGAGTAACTTTGTGTTGGCCTATCAACAATCTAATACATTTACTCTGGAATTTGTTGTTGTAATGAGACAAAAAGTTCAAGGAGTATCTCTTCGGGTGACTGTGGTGTGTATGTTTCCATACAGTGTGTTATTTACTTCTTAATGTGTATAGGGTTAATGCAAAGGGAGGCTCTGACTCTAGAAAACAGCTCATGCAAATGACAGTGTTTGGAGGGGGGAGTAGGACTGAAAGCTACAACCTCCTGCAGTTGGGCCCTCAGCATCGCTAGTGTGGAAGGATTGCAGATGACTGTCAGACAGAACACCTTCATCCCCCAGCACAGTGGACCAGTCAGCAATTTGAGAGAGAAGGGAGAAAGCAGCACGGAGCACAACACCCACGGAAGAAGCTTGCAGTGTCGTTCCTGGTAGTGAGCATCTATCTCGTTTCCAAGGCTAGCTAAGCTCCTCAGCAGATGGTGCTAGCGAAGAAAGACTTAGGTCCTGGACACACTGGAGATCCTGTTGAGTGAGATACAGAAGTTTAACCTCCAAATGCTAGATGTCAGACATTAACAAGAAAAGGGAAGCGAGTATTTCACAGAAAAAGCTGATTCGAGAAGAAGGAGCAGGTAAGAGTAACCACTTTGCTTGATTTACAGATGTGGAAATGGGCATTCTCTTCTTGCTGAAAATGCTGTAAAGGCCTGATAACATGGGAGGTTCTGGATGGGTAAGACATTTTTTGACATTATCAAAGGTTTTCCAATGTCATGTATTAGTACTACTTGTTCTGACTAATCATCTTATATAAAAATGTGTCTTAAAGATTGTTGCCCATTTTTTGACTTTTGTTCACCAATTCTTGATGTTTTATCACACTACAATTGTCAGAGATCCTAATAGCGGTGAAACACATAATTTGTTGGCCAAAAAACTTTTCTATTAAATTCCGTCAGTTTCATCACAACTGTACAAAAGAGAACATGTTTGAACAGATTAGAGTACATTTGTTCAATTTTGCTAACATTTGCCAAGGTACAGTTGACATTAAATACACCAGTTTTTATCTGTTTGGTCTTATTCAAAAAACATGTTTTAGTTTAAGATGTCAACAGCAAAAGCACCCCAGTAAAGTACAACTTTGCAACATTAAAACTAGTTAAAGAATCAAGAGGTCTACACAAGTGCATAGAAAAGCAATGGACAGCATCAACCTTATCACAGTGTGATATATAAGGGAACAGCACTCTATACATTTAGTTATATTGGCCAACCCTACTCAGGCATAAGTGGCAACAGTTTTTGTTGTATAGCTGGATAGCAATTTCGGGGGAATGTTGCTCCTAGTAGGTATTATTAATTAAAGACGTGTTTACTTAAGTAATGTTGAATCTTGAGTTGCAGACCACACACATTATGCATTTAAAGATTGTCAATCTTTGGAACAAATAAAGTAATAAAAGTTGGTGCTCAGTTTCACATAGCTGGCCAAAAACAGCACTGACATGTTTGTATCTTGAAGTTCACAGTAATCCTTAAAAGAGTCCTGAAACATCAGCATGCCAAACAGGTTCAGACTGATCGTTGTTTTGACAAACCTCTACCTGCAGCTCTGAGCCTGTGCTTTTGTAGCGCCATCTTGACTGGAACAACCTGTTCTCTTGTTGCCAACAATGTTTCCCGGCTCGGCAACAGCATGACAGTGTTTATCAGCTGCTCTGATTTTCATGTAAACCGTGATGTGTTGTGTTCGTCTTAATAAAAGTTACTTTTTTCTATCGGTGGTTGTTTTTATTTGTGAACTGACAACCCGGTGTGTTGTCGTAGAAGCTCCTTTATTGTGTGAATAATGCTTCACGGTATTTCATTCCTTCATAATTTATGAGATTCGGCTCACTCATCGCAGACATGTGCGAATCAACTTTCACCTAGAAAACGAATTAAGCTTCAAACAGGTCACAACTTTTCAGCTTTAATTCTTCTACTGCATGTTTTTTTTTCCATCTGATTGTGTTTTTTTTTTTTTCTACCTAAGCTGATGACATCCACTACAGTGTTAAACGGAGACATTTCCAATTTTTTTGCAACTATATCTTTCATGCCTCTCCACCAACAATAACCACAAATCAACATTTTATAGTTAACAATGTTGGAAATTTTGTCTTCATTTGCATAGTGTGACCTTCAACTTTGACATTGACTTAGCTAGCTTTAGCACCAATCTGTTGAAACCAGGTAGGCAGAATATTTTTTTTGTTTCAGATTTACAGTACATTTTCTTAGGAATGTGGAGCATTTTTAATTTTATGACTTAGGGTTCTCATCTAAAATTCTTGAGAAAATAGTTGCTAATCAAGTGTGTGTGCATCTAAATAGAAATAACCTGTTTGAAGAGTTTCAGTCAAGTTTCAAAGGTCATCATGACACTAAAACAGTACTTATGAAAGTTACAAATGATTTTCTCCTGGCCTCAGATAATGAACTTTTGTCTGTTCTGGTTTTGTTAGATCTCAGTGCAGCTTTTGACTCAGTTGACCACAATATTCTCTTAGAAAGGCTTGAACACGTTGTAGTTATCAAGGGAACAGCACTAGTCTGGTTTAAATCTTATGTTTCTACTCATGTGAATGATATATTTTCATACTCTAGGGCTGCTTGTGGAGTACCGCAGGGCTACACACTTGGACTAATTCCCTCTATTATTTATGTATGATTCCAATAGTTAAGACAGTATGGGATAAATTTCCACCCAGAATCCCACTGTTATGCTGATGATATTCAGCTATGTCTTTCAATAAATCCTGATGAATGCAATCTGTTAGGTAGATGACACACATGTCTTTAAGACATTAAAAAAAAAGGATCCTTTTACATTCTGACAAGACAGAAATTGTCTTTGGAACAGAACCTCTGAAAAGGAAACAGATTAGTCTACCACTTTATCTGGATGGCAATAAATTGGCCTCCGATAATAAAGTAAAGACACTAGGTGTTATGTTTTTACCTGGTTATGTTTGCTAAATCCCATACTAAACAGGTTTCTTAGACTTCCTTTCATCTCTGGAATATTGCCAAAATTAAAAATGTCCTGGAGTCTTACTGAAAACCTATTCCATATTTTTTTTTTACCACAAGGCTGGCCTACTGTAATTATTTACTATTAGGAAGTCCACAAAATGACGTCAAAATCGTTCAGCCGATTCGGAACACTGCAGCAAGAGTTCTGATGAAAATGAAGAGAGATAATATTTATCCTATTTTAGCTTCCCTTTACTGACTCTCTGTTAAATCCACAATATAACTGAAGATAAAGCCCTTAATAATTAAGTTCCATAATACGTCATTAGGTCTTATTGTTCTATATGTTTCTAAAACAACAGTTTTTTCTGAATTTTGGCCTATTCCTCCTGATAGAATTGGTGCAACTAAGTCAGAATGTAGGCTGCTTTGTACATACACACTTTTTCTGTGCTTCCCAAAAATATTATCTTATTAAGATCAGAGTTTTGTGATGTCATCTCCTTGAGTATACCTCTATACCAGACTGTTGGGATTGTTTTTCCAGACCTGCCAGGATCTGGTTTTACTTTCAATTGTAAAAACAATCATTACAGCCAAACATTTAATTTTTTTTGCTTCGTCAGACAACAGCGCACGAATCCAAAATTAAGGTCTGTCCCAGACACTGAGTGATTTGCAAGCTCTAACCTGGTTTTTAAGGTTAGCTTTAGAGGTGTGGCTTCTTCCTCTCTGAATGGCCTTTTAACTGTTGCTGTTACAGAACTTATTTCATCCAGGATCTCCCAAAGTTTTTCTGCTTTTGCGTCGGCATTGATTCACATATTTCACACCAAAGCACGTTTATCACTGGGGAGCAGAATGTGTCTCCTTCCTAAATGGTAATGACAAGTGGATATCTTTATGGTGTTACAAACAACTGAACAGATGAACATGAAACATTCAGACATCTGTGAATTTCACCCAAGGATGAAGCAGACTTTTGAAAGTCAATCAGTCAATCAATCAATTTTATAGCATTAAGTAAATTTGACTGTAGCGAGGTGAATCATCCTTACCTAACAGGACATACAACATAAACACACATTAGATCTAATGTGATTAAAAGTGACCAGGCAATAGAAATAATAAAACAAAAACATCCTGTCTGAACGAGACAAGAGAAAAGAAAATAAAGATAAAAACTGTTAAAACTATGCTAAATCAAATTATGGAGACTGATGGCATCAGGGACAAAACTGGGTTTATAGCTTAGTTTCATATTTAGAGGTAAAATATCTGTTTAGGAACAGGGCCTGAACTTGCAATGCAGAGGGTGAGACGTTTTCTAAGATGGACGTAGATAATTTGTGTACCTTTCCGAAATATGATTCTGGGTGTAGCTGCATCTCACCCGTCCACTTTCTTTCTTCTTCATATCTTGACTGATGTCTCACGAGTTCCCGTGATGTCACACGAGAAAGTATGTGAATGCATTCACAGATGAATGAAAGCACTGACAGTTCATTACACTCAACCATCCTAAATGAACCTATCAGAAGCTTACAAAGTCATGACATCATCATCTGGATTTTCCCCAAGGCATGCTAAGCTTCTGAAATTTAAGAAAGCGAGTTTAAAAATCAGAAAATCCTAACTGACACAGGAAATTTGATTTGATGTCAGACAGTAAGAAGTAAGGAAATTCCATCCACCTTACTTCCTCAGTTTGATAGTCCGCCATGTTCAGTCCTAGCTCTGCCTTTTTGAACAAACAGCAGGTTGAACTATTCTCCTTAGACTCTCTAGCTGGTTTCTAGAAAGATATTGTTTGTTTGTGACACTGTTTGCAGTCAAGCCCTGTGAGGATTTATGCTTGTGGTTTCTCAACCAATTTGAGCTTATCATCTCAAAGCACTCAGTGCATTTTTGCAGGTAATGCTCTTCAGTCATATCAACAAAACTGCTTTTTCTTTTTTTTTTTCTCCAGATAAATTTATGTGCACAAGCTGGGCTTGGTGATCAAAGGTTCTGTAGTATCTGAGTGTGAAAGTGTGATCAGGGGTCAGACTGATTGCATAGGCTTTCACCTTTGACTTTGCCAGCTTATTGCTCTATTGTGGAGCTGTCACGCAGGTAATCACACTGAGCATGCGCTCGTCTTGCTAGCAGTTGTGCTCTTTGTTGCGCAACATAATGAGTGGGGTGGGTATGATTTTTAGGCAGGAGCAACTGGATTAAGAGTCAGGTTACCGTTGGATAAAAGCTTGATCTGATAAAAGAAAACAGATTGGCGCAGTTGCCCTCTTGTTTTTCTGCTAAATTCATCTTACTTGCTGGTTCTTGTAAAAGGTTTGGTAAAGCTTCCAAGTTCAGAACTGACTTTTACCATGTGGTGTGTTATGCAACAGTTCATCAGGGTCTTGATGCATCTGGCATCCATTTGTCTCAGCCTGTTCCCACAGAGCACAAAGTTGTGTCTAAATCACCAGAAAACAAGATGTACAATTTTTGATTTTAGTTTATTTAAAAGCATAGAAGACAGGATTAAAAAAAACTGGGCAGCAAATCAGAGAGAAGTTATAAAAGAAATAGGATTCAAACAATCAAGAGCATACAGAAATATATTTATATATTTATATGTACACACACACACACACAATATATATATATATATATATATGTACAGGTACAGTAACATTCCTAATCTCAGAAGCAGGTAATGTTTATATTTACAAACTATTGGTGAAGGAATCTGTGAGGATATAAGAGTATAAAAGTAAAATATCAAAAAACATTGCAACATTCAAGAGGAGTAAGCAGACACTACAACAGTTCTGTCAAGCTGCTAAAGTTTAAAGCTGAGTGAATACAAAGTTATTGCATAGTATCCTATAATGATGCAGTACCAGGTTACAAGGGAGACAAGTGGTTTTCTCCACGCCTGAAAGTCTTTTTAACGCGAGGGACGAGGAAGACGGTGCCATCCGTCGACTGCTGCAGAGAGTAGTCCGACGTAGAGTACGAATTTCCCTTCTCGTCTCTCAGCATGCTGAAGACCTCCAGGTACAAGCTGTTCAGCTGCCGCTTCATTTCCTTCAGGCTCGTCACGTTCTTGCTCTTCTCGTCCAGCAGACAATCCCGCTCCTCCTTCAGCGAGTCCAGTTCGCCCTCCAGGCCCACAATGTTCTCCATCTTGCGCTTGCGGCAGTTCTGCGCCGCCACCTTGTTCTTGCCTCTGCGGCGGATGTCGCGGACGAGGGCCAGCTGGGCTTCGTTCAGCTGGTGCTTAGACATGAGCTCGTTGAAGTCGTCCACGGGCAGGTTGATTATCATGTCGACGGTGAAGGGGATGTTAAGGGACTTGGCCCTCAGCTCGTCTCGGGTGAGACGCACGTCTGAACGTTTCTTGGATTTGTCTTTGGTGAAAGGAGCACGGTCATGGCCGCTGTCCTCTGCCAGGTCTGCGTTGCCTTGCTTGGGTTTCTTTTCATGCTCTTGCGGCTGCTCGGTCATTTCTGACACTGGTTCTGATACCGTGAGGTGATCAGGTTCAAAATTCAAGGAAAACATCTCAGAATAGTCAGATTGTGCACTGCCGGGGTTCTGGTCCATCTCCTCCATCTCTGAATCACTGTAACCAAAGGACCCGCTTCCGTACACAGATCTGCCCGGTGATCTTTCATTTGGACTCCCATTAGTGGAGACTCCCGAATCCGAGTCTAGGTGCTCCGCTGTCAGACTCTGTTTGCTTCTGTCGAACGAATCTCCAGGGGAGAGGCT